CTAAATAAGGGACATTGTATGGCCAAGATGTTGATCTATTGCAGAGCGTAGCTTTTTTAGCTTTACGCCAACCCTTAGGAGTAGGAGTAGTGTAGATCTCGGCGAGTTCTTCAACAAGCAGGGTTGCATCGGCCTGGCCGACCTCTGACTTGTCTGTAAGTACCGTCATGGCGTATGCTTTGGTTTGTAAGGCTGCATCGGTTAAGTTCAACCTCCACTACGAGCTCCAGCATAAGCTAGTTATCGATCTTTATCTAGTTCAAGTACGGCTGCATCGGTTAAGTTCGACCTCCACTGTTCGAATTAGATTAAGGTCAAGTTATCGGCTCTACCTAAGAGTGGCATCCTTTGGGTAGATTCATTAAGCTACCGATCTTGCTGATGTTCTTATTGCCATTAGTTTCAGCAACATCATACTGCCCGTTCGAGATCGATCTAGATCGGCTTCACATCATTTTAGTCCGCCGTTTTCTTTGTTACAATACGATGTTTCTTACTTTGAGCGACGGGTTATGTTTCATCGGCTATTCTACTTCGATCTTGATCCTGCATAGTACGCGGTTAAGGCATGTATGATCTCGAGGAGGTTTGCTGGTTAGTTAAATCTGCTCTATAGTTTGCTATTGTGGCTGTAATGATCCGATCGATCCCCACCGATGGCACTTTAGATCGGAGGATGCTAGTTGGTAGATTTGTTTTCGATCAGGCGTGACCTTGACTGTTTGTTATGCCTGCATTGGCTAAATAGCCGATTGCCTATGCTTTAATGCCTACAGTGTGTCTCCATGATTCTGTTAAATGTGAATAGATCTATTTACTTTAAAAGTTTGATTTGTTGTCTTTATCATGGCTGGCATCGATCCGGTCGAACCTCACTATTAGAGATAACAGGTTAAGTCTGATGAGTTCATAGATTTGTCCATGTTAAATAGTCGATTGTTCGCATGCTGTAGTCCCTTTTCCACCTGAATCGGCTATACTTAAGCTTTCACACATATAGCATGTCTTTCGGAAAAGCCTGTCAATGTATAGATGGTTTTACGGATTCTTCGGTTTTAGTTTGTTATTATCATCATAGCTGTCATCGATCCGGTCGAACCTCACTATTGATAGTAACAGATTAGATTCAGAGCGTTTGTAGATCCATTTGTACTAGACAGTAGATTTGTTCGTATGTTATATCCTTTCTCGTTAGATTCATCGGCTCAATGCTTTACGCTGGTAATACCCACCTAGCTGATGATTTTACTTATATCTGCATGCATTGTACTTGTCAACATAAAATCAATCGCGATCCACAAGCTTTACAGTCCGTAACAGCCGATTTCTTTGCGTATCGGCTATTTAGTCGATTTTTCCGTCTGGCTACTCCCGAAGTGGCACACTTGGAACTGTCTGGGCAAGACCGGCATGTTCCACCTTAAATTACTGATAAACTTTCTCTCCTTGTCAATTGTAGGTCAAATTGACTGGTACGCCTCGGGAGGAATTCACAGGGTCAACAGGTCCTGCGATTGAAGCCAAGCGGATCTCCGGGCTCATCCTAAGCAGATCATTCTGGCTTGCTGTGTGCCAGGCGCATTGACACATTTTTGCGCTGACACCAAGATTTCTTCTAGATGTCCAGGCTCTTCACAAGAGTCTTGCCTAGCTCCAAATACTACTAAAAGTAAATGTACAAGTGGGAGGTGAGAGGCTTCTTGAGTGAGGTGTGTGTTGAGAGAGGGGGCTCTCCCCCTCCTCTTATACTAGCCTAATGGTCAGTTTGGGGGCGAATATGCGGGGCAATCTTCCCGAAACCGCCTCTCCTCATCATTATTGAACCGCCAGAGGAGGATGCACCCGGGCCGAGGCACTGGGTGTGCGGCCAGACCCTAGCTGGCACGCCGCCCACCGCCTTTGCCAGGTGGGCTGGTGGCTGGGCCCAGGTTGCCTCCTCGATGGTTTGGGGCCCAGATACACCAAGTGAGTGGGCCTTTGCTTATTTGTGCTTTGTAGAGTCTGCTTTACGCTTCCTATATTGCGCACTTTGATCATACTTCCCATGCATTTCTTATGTATATCCTGCAAAACACTAAGTCTCCAGTACATGTGCAAATATGTTAAAATGAATAACATATGCGTGTAAGGTCGCTAGTTCCTCTTGTTTTTGTGTCTTAATTGGCAGTCAGATTTGATCGTTAAGGACCGCCAATAGTGCTCAATTAGGCGACAAGTATTCCACAATGACTGCTGCGACCTTGGATCAAGCGTCAACATTATGTCCAAGGTAACATATGATAACCTGCTATGTGGACCTTTGTCCGCTACTTTTATCCATTTGCAGATGGCGGAACAAACAATCTGATTCCCTGAGGGACTAGCAGGAGGCATCATAGTAAAAATCCAAGATGAGTATGTCCCTGCGGACTTCGTGATTTTTGACATGGGAGCCAATGAGGAAGTTCCTCTCATCCTTGGAAGGTCGTTCCTCAACACCACGAACGTAGTCATCTATGTGGGATCGGGACAAATCCACTTCCAAATTCAGAGTTGCAAGGTAAAGTTTGCTTTTAATGGATACACTAACAATTAGGTCAAGTCAAACCAACCCAAGAGAAGACCACGATACAACCGAAGGATGAACCAAAAGAAGGATGAATCGGCCGGATCACAACCACAACCGAAATCAAAACCTGAACAGATTTGGCGGGAAAACAAGGTGCCCTCACCGAAAGATAAATCGATAGTTATCTCATATTTAATTCTTAATTGCATTTTCATTTAGCATTTTAATTTTGAATTTTTTATTTTTGATTTCTTGACAAGCCTTTTCCCTTTGTGCAATTGAGTTTGAGTTGAACTTTTCATAAAAATTTGAGGGATTTTGGAGGGAAGAGGGGGGTCGCCCTACCCCCTATGATTCCTTATGCCATCTTTAAGCAAATGGGGAGCAAGAAGTGACCTGAGAGGAGACAAAAAGAAAAAGAAAAGTGGCCTAGGGCAGGTCAACCGACCACCTTATGGCAACATTGGTCATTTCAACTCCGACTGCCCTGCTCATATTTGGAATCCTAAGCAAATGCTGCTAAGTGGCATGACAAGATGAGGAAGAGGGGGGTCGGCCGAGCCCACCATGAGGCCTCCACCTTGGTACCTTCTTTGGCTATAGATAGCCATGCATGGGAAGCTCAACCCCCAGCTCAAAACCTTCAGAATCTCGAGCTTCCCATCTCCCCCTTCTCTCAAGTTTTGTGACAGTTCTTCCCAAACTTAGTTCATAGTTTAGCCACATCAAGAAAATCCCAAAAATATTTTTTGTTTTTCTCTTCCATTTTAGTTGCATTTTCAAGCTTGTCTTTGATCTCGAGTCACTCTAACAAGAATGTTTGTGGTGGTTCATACACCCTGCAAGAACGATTTGTGGAGTATCACTTCCCACAAGAACGGTTTTGTGGAGGCGACCATGCCCCAAAGGGACTACTAACTCGGACGACTAACAACTAACGCTAATCTTTGTTGTCCTAGTTGTGTTTTTGTGTCTCTTCTTGTGCAGAGATGAAGAACCCATTCAAGACGGTGATGAAGAAGGTGAAGAATGCCATTGGTGGGAGCTCGTACCAACGCTCCCGCCACTCCGACGGAGACTCTCAAGGAAGGAGAAGAGGTGGTTCTGCCCATTTCTCTTGGGAGGACACGCCAAGCGACGAACAAAGCCAAGAGGAACAGCATCATGGTGCACATGAGCAAGCTGCACCAAGCGAAGGTCAATATCATGGTGCATTTGTTGTACCCCCGCTGAGAGCAATGGATAATGAGAGTGGTCCCTTGTTTGACCAACAAGAGTACCAAAAATACCTCTCAATCCGGGGGCGCACTTTTGGACACACCAAGATATTTGACCCAAGCCTCCTCAACAGATCAGGTATGGATGTGGAATTTAACACTGTCTTCTCTACAATTGGTTGGCATAGTTTCTGGCAATTTACTGATGAACTAGGAATTATACTTCTTACCATAGAGTTCTTGTGCTCGCTGCAAGTTTCTCATGATGGAGTTTATTTTTGTATGCTCAACCAAGATTTTAATCTTACATGGAGTCAATTAAATGTTGCCCTTGGTTTTGATGAAGCATGTTGCTAGATATAGACCATGCCGCTCATAGATTTAATAAAGCTGAGTTTTGGGAAGCCATAACAACTTCACATAATTGCTCTAAATCAAGACCCAATGAAATCCATAATCCAACCCTTCGTTTCCTTCACCATTGGATGGTTGTAACTCTTTTTCCTCGCTATGATGGTCGACCCTTAGGAGTTGATGATTTAAGATTCTTGTATGCCATGGCCCATAAATTCGTGTTTCACCTGTCAAACTTGTAGTTGCTCATTGGCAAGGTGTGTTTAGTAGAGATGGCTCCATCGAGTTTACCTCTCTAGTCACTCGCATTGCCGATACAATGAACCTGCTAAATGGTGCACATCAATTTCAATATATTGCCACAGCTAGGGGAATAATCACAGGGGAATATTTTATTCAAGCCCACATGCTAAAAAGAGGTCCAAGAGGTGCTCTTAAAATGATTTATCGCAGCCATACGGCTGAGGTCTCACTTCCAAGTGAAAGACATTAGCTGTATAGGGTTCGCCAACTAACATTTGACTTGGACCAAGTGGCGAGACGCCGAAGTTTTGTAGGTACAAATACAGACAGGGTCACACGAAGCATGACACAGGCTGCTCAATTTGAGCAAGGTGGTACATCACAAGGTGCCGGTGATGATGACGATGATGAAGATGATGAGGTGGAGGCAACGTCAAGTGCCATGGAAATTTCAAGTTCAAGTGGGATGCCTCCGCCACGACCATCACGCACCCAAGGTGCGCAAGCTTCCTTCTCGTCCTCACGAGACAGGGAACATCGTGGCTTGCGGCAAGAGTTGGACCACCTTACCAATGAAATGGGTGAGATGCATATAGAGCAAGGGGCCACATTGAACATAGTCCAGCAAAATATCCAACTCATCCAAGACATTCAAGAAGAGGAAGTCCATCATTGGATGGCCTGGTGGGTGCCACAAGTAATTTACCCACCACCACATCCACCACCAGGTCAATGAGCAAAAGACAAGCTTGGGGAAGGTTCCCTCCCCCACTAAGGTAAGTATTTATTTTTCAGCATTTACATTTTTGTTAGTTTGTTTTCTCTCTTCCATTGCATTTAAAAAAATTTGAATATGATAAAAATATCAAAAATATTTCCCTTTGCTTTATATATGCGTGAAGTGGACCGTGACGCCTAAGAGGGGGGTGAATTAGGCAACTTAAAAATCTAATTCTAAACTATGGCCTCTTTTTCTAACCTTAGCAAAACCTATGCAAAAGATAAACTATCTAAATGTGCAACTACGGTTTTGCTAGTGTGTTGCTATCTCTACCGCAAAAGGAGTAATACAAACAATGTAAATGCGGAAGCTGAAGAGCAAGGTAGAGATATGCAAACTCCCGTCGACGACTCTGGTATTTTTACCGAGGTATCGAGAAGCACGCAAGCTTCCCCCTAGTCCTCGTTGGAGCCCCTCGCAAGGAATCCCTCGCAAGGGTCAAGCTCCCGGTCGGGTAACTCCGTAGATAGCTTCGGGCCTTCCCCACGCGCAAGTGGGTCTCCGACGTGCCTTCCGGCAAGCCTCTCCCGGATGCTCCCCGCCGTCTTCACTATCAACCTTCCGGCCGAAACGCTGCGGGCCTAGTTCCCTCCGGTACACGGTTGGTGTGATCTCGCAAGACTACAAGCCCCTCCGATGTACAACAATGGTGCGCGCAAGCACCGAGTGGTAAGGGGAATACAAACCTCACTAAACACTAGGCCTAAACCTAGAGCAAGCGCATAAGCGGTGGTCTAATCAACCTAAGCACTTCGCAAAGCACCTACGCCAATCACCTAATGAAACACTAAGCACTATGCAAGTGGAGATCACTAAAATGTTGTATCAACACCCTTGATATGTTTCCTTAGCTCCACACTGCTCAAATGGCCGGTTGGGGGTTGTATTTATAAGCCCCACTGAGAAAGTAGTCGTTGGGGACGAAATCCCGCTTTTCTGCAACTGACCGGACGCTGAACTCGTCCTTACCGGACGCGTCTGGTCGTCCCGACCGTTGGTGCCGCGATCTACTGATCGGACGCTGTCAGCGTCCGGTCACATGCCACCGCACGCTTCCGGTCGCATTTTCGCCACTCTGGAACCTCTCTGTACTCGACCGGACTCTGTTGTCCTGCGTCCGGTCGATCTGCCGCCAGCATCCGATCACCTGTCTACCGAGCCACCAGTCCAGCGTCCGGTCTAGCATCTGGTCGCCTCTACGAGCTTGTTTCTTCGTGATCTTGCGTACGGCTTGGTTCCTACCTTCATGCTTGGACTTTGCTTGATATCTTGGGTCTTTTCTTGTGCTCCTAAGGTCTTGCTTATGGTGTTGATCATTGGATCATTACGTCGCCTTCGTCGAAGTCACGTGTTGCACCCTATTAAACTAAAAAACAAACACTTGCAAATTCATTAGTCCAATTTGGTTGTATTAGTAATCAAACACCAAAATCCAAAGTAAATGGGCCTAGGGTCCATTTTCCTTACAATCTCCCCCTTTTTGATGATTGATGACAACACAACCAAAGCAAGCAAATAATAAAATTTTGAAATTTAAAAAACTACCTACTTGCTGGGATGCAATGGAAGGGGCAAGATTATATGATGCTAAAAGATACTACTTGTAAGACTATATAAAAACTTATCTTGCCCTTGCAAATGTCCCCATGTGGTATTATGGATTTAAGCCTTGCTTCCTACAAATTCTTCCCATTACATAGGCAATCCATAATCCACCATCCTCCCTTTCTCGGACCATTACCACTTTTAAATTATTAATGCTTGCTTTTGGTCCTCTAAATTCTCCCCCTTTGGAATCAAATCACCAAAAAGGAAGACATTAGTAACACAAGGGAGGGTCAAATTTTGTGAACCTTTGTGAGTAGAGTGGAATAGGTCACAAAATTTGACTCTCACATTATATAGATTAGGCTCCCCCTAAATAAATGCATACATATGGTAGAAAGCAAGGCATATGCATATTTGGCAAATTATTGCACAAGGGAATTTAATCTATATAATGTATGCAGAAAGCATATAAATATCAAACTGAGATCAACAAGATGATATTGGTTTAGAAATACCATATGTGAAAACCAATTTGATTTCTACCACTTGCAATGGGTGGTTGATATTTAAAGTATGATGCTTAACTCCGAGGACTCCATTTTCCTTGCAATGAGACTACTACACATATGATAAGCTTGAAAAGATGTTAGTCTCAAAGCATCCAACTTGTAGAGTAACCTCCCCCTAAATTTGTGCATGCAGTGTGGAATACTTGTAGAAGACATGCACATTGATTTTAGAATAAAAAATACCACTTGAAAGATGACATCTCATGAATGTGAGAATCATTTTCGAAGATGATATTTGGGAGAAATTATCTACAATTTGGTCTTTGGCACATATTAGATGAACAATGGAGAGACAAGGTATGTGCCGTGCTCCTAAGCAATTTTAAACCATGTAGGTTTGCTCCAAGGGTTAAGAATGAAACCGAGCAAGCCTACCATAAGATATACCTAGTGTATGCATGCCAAAAGATATAAGTATGCAAATGCAAATCTAGGCATTAAGAGTAAATAGATGCTTAAAGATACCAATTAAACAAAATATTACTAGAAAGAAGTACCAATTGAAAGTAATAACATCTAGTTACCTAATATGGGAAGGGAAATTTGGGTCCATAATATTCACTAACCCACTTAACAATGACTTTGTCCATCATGATGCACCCCATGAAATGCACCCAAACTTTGCCAAGTCTCCAAATTCCCAATGTCCATCGGACCTCTCACTTCCCTTTCGGGATCCAAACCTTCTTGGTGCTCTTCATGTTGGAAATGATTTCCTTTGGCACCCAAAAGCGTTTGACCCCATTGATGGCTTGCTTGTTCACCTTGATGGCCACCACCTTGTCATTTTTCTTCTTCTTTAACAAGTATGGTGTGGAGGCCTTCTTGTCCACCTTGTTGGTGTAGGTGTTGGAGAGCTTGCTTGTTTGCTTTTTCTCTTTCTTCTTTGCTCCTCCCCCATTCTTCACCTTGCACTCATAGGACTTGTGGCCTTCCTTGTGGAACACATAGCAAACCATGGTTTGTCCTTCATCAAGCTTCTTCACTCCCTTGATGGTGTTATCTTGATGAAGTTGGGCTTGCTTCGCCTTGCCTTTCACTTGAGTCAAGTCCTTGGTGAGGCGAGCTACTTCTTGCTTGAGTTGCTCATTCTCTTTTGCAACCTCTTGTGTGCATGTATCTACAACAACTTTCTCAACACAAACTTGGTTGCACAAGGGTGAGTTTAAACATAAATCATTACAAGAAGTAGAAGCATCCTTTTTGGGCATGTTAAACATAGAGATTTTCTTTTTAGATGCCTTGGTGAGGGTTGTACTAACGGCTTCAAGATTAGCAACTTTATTTGTTAGCTCATCACAATGTTTGCACATGGTTTCCATTTTAGCTAGCAAACTTTTATAAGCATCTTGTGAGCTAGCTAACTTTTCTTTAATCTTTCATTTTTCTTTACAAGTTGCTCATCATTGATTGTGCATGCATTTATTGTTGCACTAGCCTTAAGTTGCTCAATTTTGGTAGATGGTTCAACATTAAGATTAGCAAAGTTCTCATATTGTTCAAGCAAAGTTTTGTATTCTTCTTGTGAACTATTTAGCTTTTCTTTTAATTTTTCGAGCTTCTTTTGTTGACTAGTGCAAACTTTAGCATAATTAAGATTTTGTTGCACAATTTCCTCATAAGAAGGCATTTCATCATCACTATCACTCTCACTAGAGGATGAGCTTTTGTTACCTCATGCCATAAGGCACATGCGAGAAGAGCTTGATGATGAGTGCTTGCGCCCTCGCCTCTTGTGATGGTGTTCTTCTTCACTTGAAGAATCATCCCATGACCTTATTGATGTGAGGGCTTGGTTCTTGCACACCTTCTTCTTTGTCTTGGGTGTGGGCTTGTTTGGACAAACTTCCACAAAGTGCCCTAACTCGCCACATCCATAGCATCATCTCTTTCTTTGCTCATTTCTTTGATTGGTGAAAATGAGATCTTGGATTTGGATGGGCACACCCTTGACATTGAGCCTTTGGATCATCTTCTCCACCTTGTTGATAAGTTTGATTGATTCTTCATCAAGGTCGGAGGTGGAGGAGGAAGATTGATCATCATTACTTGATTCTTCATCATCATCATCATCCTCATCTTCTTCTTCATCTTCACTTGAGGAGCTTGAGCTTGAGCTTGAGCTTGTCTCAATTTGCTTGCCCTTCATCTTCTTCTTCTCGCTACATGCGAGAGCTTTGCCTTTGCTCAATGAAGAGGCTTCATCTTGACCCATCTTATGTGACATTTCAAATGCCACTTACTTGCCAATGACTATGCCTAGGGTCATGGTGCTCAAATTCTCCATGTTGTGAAGGATGGTGATGATGCTTGCATATTTCTTTTGTGGTAGCACGGAGATGATCTTCCTCATGATCTCCGCATCATCTAGCTTTATTAATCCTATTGAATGGAGTTCATTGATAATTAGATTCAAACGAGAATACATATCACAAACAAGCTCATCATCGTTCATTGTAAAGGAATCATAATTTTGCTTAGCTAGACAATGTTTTTGCTCACAGACATTACTTGTGCCGTCATGGAGCTCTTGAAGTTTTAACCAAATTTCATGTGCCGTATTCAAAGTGAACACTTGGTTAAACACATCCATGCTAAAAGATTCAAACAAGCAATTTTTAGCTCTAGCATTGAAATGTATTTCTTTTTCATCACTCTTTGTGGGTTTTTTGGGATTCTTAATGGTTTTCATTCCGTCACGAGTGACTCTCCAAACACCCAAATCAACTGCTTCAAGGTAGCAAGCCATTCTAGCTTTATAATAGGAGAAGTTAGTGCCGTCAAAGTGCGGAGGCCTAGACGTATCCATCCCAACCACTCTAAATAGCGTCGGCTCAACGGCGGTTAAGCCAAAGGTTCAAATTGAGCCAACC